TCCCTTCCCTTCCCTTCCCTTCCTTTTTCCCTCCCCTCCCCTTTCCTCTTAATGGGATACTCAGGAGGAAAAAGCATTCAAGTCTTACAGGTCACTGGACTAAATAGTTTTCAGTTAAAAATGAAAAGAGATCACTATTGTTCATATATCTCAATTTGCTATCACAACTCTTTTTCTTGTTGTTGCTATATTTTTTCAAATACTTGTGTAATAATGTATTAGAGAGATATGAAGAGTAGATAAAGGTAAGAATTAGTCCATTAATACAGATCACTATGTATAGTGTAAAATTTGTATTGAAGTTGATGTATAAAATACACTTTCTATAGTCTAGTCAGTGTATATTTCCCCTGATACAGAAGCTACATAAATTTAGCATTTTTAATGATAAAGAACCCATGTAGGTCATGAGATGTTAGATCTCCTTCCTTCCCCTGCAATGTCTTTTATTTCTGAGCAACATGGCAGTAACATGAGATCACAAGAGCCTTTGTAAAATGTGTGCTTTAGCAAACAAAAAATAAGATTATGAATTTTCTGATCAATGCTCTTGGAAGTTGTTGTTTGCATTGATATTGTATTACAAATGATAGACTACAGTGTAAGTTAACAAAGGCATGTCTGCTCACTTCCAGCTGATGGTGTCAAAACCAACTTTCAGTGGCAGAATTTTGAATTGTTAATTATACTCTTGTTCTATGCTGAAATCCTTGACCTAAATATTTATGGGTAATTTGGTTCTAAAGTACTTTACATTAGTGCCCTGCAGTAGGACCATGTGAGCAAGAGTAACCAAGATTAATCACATGCTCCTAGAGACAGTGGTAATTCTGGGGCATGGGGAGTCTGAGCCTCTGGATCCTGGAGGTTTCTCACTTGCTTATTTTCTCTGTCTCATTCTCTCTCTGCAGATCAAACGTTTCCTGAAGTGTGGTAGAAGGCAGGAAGAATGACACTTGCTAATTTGAATTTCAGAAAGCACCTAAACTTCATTCTGATCTCCAGGTAAGTGTCTGTGAGCCTCTTGGCTTTGACACTTGTTAAAACTTAATCACATATTTTTTTGGTGCAAAACTATCTTATGCAGACCAAAGAGAGAAGCATGTGTGAGCATGTGCTGGTGTTTGTGAGGGAGAGAAACCTTCAGTTGTTTGTTCAGATGATGTGAAGTGAAAACAACATTACTCTGGAAACCACGAGATCAGCTTATGAAAAAGGAGGAGACGTTAATTGACAAACTGAAAACCCTAAACTACAGGTGATCCGATGCAGTTGCTCTATGCAAGATCCCAAGAAGGAAACACCTGGGAACATGTAAATTACTAATTAAGATCAGGCTTTATTTTCATGTATTCATTCTCTTCCTCTTCCCCCAAACTGCTTCTTAAAATTACCCTCAGGCATGTCATGGGCTGTATCAAAGTTTGTTCTTAAACTGTAGCTGTCAAAAATAAAGAAGAAGGAAAACCATGCACATATTTTAAATGTCAATGCTAACTAGATGGGTTCTTTCTCTGAAGATCTGGATAGCTACAGAGAAGTTTACAACATGTTATCTGTACTGTGAAACTCAGTATTAACCACGTAAAGGGTGTGTGTGGACACTGACCAGTGACTCAAAGTGAAGACTTCTTCTTTAGATGCCTCATCATTGCTAGTATACTGATGACCTCAAAGTATTTTCTGTCCTTTCACTTATATTTAGAAAAGAATTAATTTCATTCAGGACTGGGCTTTTTCTTTTGGGAGTATTTGAGCCATTGCATTTGCCTGAAAGCTTATGGAGGAGCTCTGTTGCACAATTTTACTCAAATATTGCATATGCCTAGAGTCCTATGCTGAGATAACTACCCATGTAGGTGCTGATGCAAGACTGACTCATTGTCCACTTTAGATATCAGACTGAGATGTGATTTGGTGCACCAAAAGTTAGGAGCCTGTGGTCCTCATAGAGTCACTGGAGAGGGGTGGGCACATCTGAAGGATGGCTTGTGCAAACTGCCAAGGGGGATAGTGTGAGTACATCCCACTGTGACTGCTTGCAGACTAAATGCAGTGGACAAACTCTATGTCAGTTTTGTGTTGTGTTTTGTAACAGCAAAATCAGCTGGCATAATTTATGCTTGTGTAAGAATGGCTTAATGGATGAAAGGGAAAGCATTCCCAGGCTTCCTGGCAGGGGTACTGCATGGAATGTTTGGCATGGCTGGGGTCAGGACTGTGCTTGTGATTGGTAGGGTGGGAAAACAGACCATTGAATGCTGTGCCATCCAGGTACTGTAGATCTGGTGTGACACTGTGGAACAGAGCACAGGTCTGTGATACCTTAAACATGGACATATCTTAAACAGGATGGTGTATGAGCACTGAACAGTTCTGAACTGTGTGAAATATTGTTAGCAGTCACAGTGACCTTGTCTAAAGCAAATTGAGGAGAGTACAAACAAGGATAGTTTGTTCTCCATATTCTTGGTGGACAGGAAAGAAAAATGTGCTTGAATTGTAGCAGAGAAGACCATAGTGAAACGTAAGCCTTCTGAACAGCACGGAAGGAGGCTGCATACAGGCTGTGAAATTGTTGTCCTCAAGAATCTCCAACTTGGGAAAATGCATCTGTTGTGTCTGCCATGTGGAACTGAGCAATACTGAGCCTGTGCTGAGGGCTGGCAAGGACATGATGTATCAACAGCTACTTGAGCTGCAGTGAGCACCCAGGCTATACTCAGGAGATGGTTTGATAAAAAGGGCAGCTTTGGCTGGGTTTTTCTAAGGAAACCAAGACTCCTCTGTTTCTGTATCAGTGGTCTCAGCCTCTCCTGACATGCAGCCTTGCTTTATTAGCAGGGAGGAGTGAGGCAGATTTTGTGAGCAGAATGAACCAGGACCTGTGCTCACTGCCAGATATTCAGAGAGCCATCAGGAAGGGTTTGTTTACCAGAACACTTTTCTACAGCATTTTCCCACCTCGGAATGGAGCGTGATGGTTTTCACATGTGTTGTGAGCACTATTTATAGCTGAGCAGCAGAACTGAGTTTGCAGCAGAGCTGACAGTCATTTGATGCAATGTATGATTTCTCCCCAGCCACAGACATAATAAAACACAATCTGTGATATACATTTTATCTAGAAGCACAATTAATAATAGTGATTAATTCTCATGATCTCTTAGCCTGTTAATAAGGTGAAGAAATATTGCTTGACACATAATGGATTGAGGAAGAACATTTCTGAATCACTGTTTTACTTACTGTGGACACATGGCTTTGCCTCTTTGTGCTTTGTGAAATCCCCAGGGATTATTCCATCTTTCTGAAAAGCTGAATAAAGATAGATTCAGGTCAGGATATTCTGGAGATAAGAATGTGATCCATACTGTGCAATATCACCGTCTTTTCATAATGGTTCCTAATGTGCATTTTTAATATTTTTCAGAAGATATTTGTTACTATTTCTCAATCTATCAATGCATACATAGCATTATCTGTTATTCCTAAAAAGCACAGGCTTGTTCTTAATGTAAAATCTGGGCCCTAAAGAACTTATGGTGTAAATGTGTCTTGTCATGGGAGGAGGCCTGTGCTGCAAGCTGGCAATGGATGGTGTGGAGCTGCTTGGATGGAACTTTGTAAGGATATCATACCTCCCCTTGGATCTGCAGGATATGTGCCCAGTGTCCAAATAAAGGAGAATGCAGGCTCATTCAATCACATCACATTGGGATCTGTGGGTCAGAACCGAGGCCTAGAAGGTAGGAAGACACGTTAGACCCTCTTCTTCCTGTGCCTTGATTATCCAGGTTTCTTTGTCCCCTGTGGCACACAGTGCCTGCTCCCCAGTGGGCAGCAACGACTGGTTTGATGGGGCACTATGCAGGGACAACAGGAGGAGGAGGAAGAGGATGCCCAGCAACTTGCTTGCAGCATGTCATGCAAGGACTGGCTGCAGCTTTGCCCTCAAGGATCTCGTTCTTGCTGACAAGCCCTTATTTGTGCAGGATGTTGTAACTGTGCTTTCCAAACAGAGTGATTGAGATAGTCAGTGTGATAGCTGGACCTCAAGGCCCCGTGCCTTGTGGCTCTGTTGAAGGTGTCATTGAGACAAACTTTTCTGGCTGCCCACCCTCCCACACCTTGCAGCAGCCTCTGAGGGGCACTGAGAGTCCCCTGAGAGGGGAAGGTGCACCCCTGGCTGTGTCTCAGGTGTGCCCTGCAGGAGCAAGGGCAGCTTTGCCTCTCTGCTGCTGTTCAGGGACTCGTGTACAGGGCTGCACCCACCTTCAGGCTTGCAGACCCTTGGTAGCAGAGGTGGCAGTGGTGGCATCTCCACAGTTTGCCTAACAAGGGGCCCTTGTGCTGATGGGCATGGCTGTGCTCTCTTATCGTTACTCCAGGCACAGGCACGGCCTCTATTTGCAAGTTCAGACAATGTCAGTGCTTGGGTAACTGTGGGGAGGGCTGACACCGTGGGGCCTGCTGTGATTCTGGTTTCTTCCTCTCCTTCCCAGCCATTTTCTGAGACCCTGTGTCATATGTAGGGTTGCATGGCAGGCTCATAACAACTATACAGTGTGGAAGGGAGAAGGAATGATGGATGACTTATTGCACACCCCAGAATCTGCGCCCCAGGATTTTCTCTGTGCATATTCATGGGAGGTACAGCTATAAGATGCTGGCAATGACTCAAACACTTTTAGTGTGTAGGCACACAGGATATTCTGGATGGTCTCAGGAGTTTTCTGATCAAAAAGTTCTCATCAGGAGTTTTTCAGATCAAATCCAACTCCATCCTTAAGCTGCTTTCAGACAGGACAATAAACTTCCCTGACTTGAACAGGACACATGAAATATGGGACCAAGTCTGTTTTCCATATTGAAGCAGAATCTAGTCAGGAAATGAACCCAACATTGTCATAGGAAACAGGTAGGCTTTGAAGGCTTCAGACTGTGTGCAGGCTGTGTTTCAGCAGGAAGCTTCCAGGTACGCATTTTCCATGTCAGCAGGTATGTGCTTCCTAAATCCATCTGCCCACCTCAGTAAAACCTGCACTCACAGCCTGAAGGTCCACTAAACACATCTTGTGTATGGCAGGATGTATAAAGGGTTTGAGTGGAATGTTGCTCATGAATGGCTAAAAACCAGAAAAACTATGTGGAAAAATGTCAAAAGGAAAGGAAATGATCTTCTGGAGGATGAGGAAGATGGGTAACAAAGAGACAGTCCAACAATGTGACAGATCTAGAGGCAGCTCTAAAGCCCCAGCACAATTATTCCTGGACTTTGTCATCTTAGCTGCTTTGGCATGTAGTCCAATAACTGGGAACTGGGAATAATGATCAGAGCAGCAGTGGATTGTGGTTTTGTATACCTCATCATAAACTTTCTCATTCTTCTCAGAAGGTATGTGTATTTGTTTTTAAAAAGAACTTTTAAACCTCTCTCAAATACTATTTTTGATGACAACAATTTTTGAGAAACCCTGCTGATGAAGTAAATAAACTTTCTGAAATAATCTTTTTTCATAGGGCTATATTTTATGAGGAGTTCCCAGTAGCTCACTTTTATTAGAAAATATGTGCATGCATAGATTTGTTCTAAGTAGAAGGATCCATACAGGCAAGTGTGATCTTGTGAACCCTTTTTCTAGTATATATTTACCATTTTGAGTAAAGTTGTGCCAAATACTTGTGAGTTTTTTGAGTGCACAGCAACAGGGACATGTGCGGCTTTTAGCAGCAGCTGCTCTTTTCCATTCCCTGTTATTTTTAAGACTAAGAAATGTGTTTTATGAAAGAGAAGGACTTGCAGATGTAGTGAAGGTAAGCTCAGCACATTGCCTTCTCACCATTCTTGCACTTGGTCCTCTCCAGCTTTGTGTGCAGAATTTCTCTTGGCTTCAGTGGTATTTTTCCACCCAGATGGAGAAGTCTGTTTAACAGTTCATGTCTGCTGTTAAAGCACTATAAAAAGCTGGAAATGGAACATATCACAGGCTTAATTAAACATTCATATGTGATTTCTCTCAGAAATATTAAGGTAAGAAGGGACAAAGGCTTGGAGACTACAACAAAGTAGAGAATATTTGAATCTAGTTATGTCAGACAGGATGGGGACCACCTTCCCTCTTAATGGCCCAAGGTGTAATTTTAATTATTTCATCTGTCTGAGAAATGCAGAAGAGTGTCATCCAGACTGCTTCAAAGATTTGCCTCTGTAAGGTATATGGATACATATATCAAACTTTTAGGTCAGTTGATAATCAGGCTTGTATGATGTAAATATCATCCACACTGTCACATAACAACCTACTGAAAAGTTCAGAATGGGAAAGAAAGTGATAAGAATTGATATTTCTGAAATAATGGACTACAGGACAGAGAAAGTGATTTTAATTTATTTATTTTTTGACATGAAGAAACAGACAACTGTTGTGCATGCAGAAACCTTAGAAGTCAATGCAATATGAACTACTCACAAAGGCGTTCAATTCTGTGGGTGTAATTAATAACTAAACTTTAATCTTTTTGGATCAATTAAATATTTGGATGGAAAGCAGTGGTCTATTGTGAAAAATCTGTGAGAAACCTGTATATATCCAGTTTCAATTCATCTGCTGTAGTCGTTAGCATGCTGCCTAGTTAAAGAGATTTTGATTCCTTGTTTAAGGCATTCATTTTGCTTTCATTTTTCATATTCAGCTTACATTATAATGCCCTTAATAGAGATACATGTTTAGCACCACAGTCTACCCAATAGAGCAAGGCTAGAAGGTTGCATGCTGTTTGATAATAATACTTTTTGTGCATTATTTATGAGATTCACTAAATCAAAAGTGTGCTCCAGAAGAGGAATGATACAGAAAACCAGTCCTCACTGTTGCTTGGTTTGCTCCTCCTTAAAATTTCTAGCAATCAGGAAAAAGCTCCGTAGGTCTATTACTCATTGCTTAGTTGGCCTTTCACACTGTATTACTTCTCTCACCTCTAACCTAATTCTCCCTTATTGCAATCTTTCCTGTTTTTCAGAGAGTATCCAAAACAATTCCTTGCCTGCTTTCATAAAAAGTCTTTCTGAAAATTTGAGAACTGCTATCAAACCTTCACTTGGCCTTTCCCCTCCTGGATTAAACCTTGCAAGCCCTATTCTTTCTTGCAAAGTCTTATGCTAGAAATGCTCTTTTAAATTCATTCTTATTTCAGGTTCTGGGACTTTCTCCAGCTGATTAATGTATTTTATTGACATGTGATAACCTGCAGAGGTGACAGGGATCCAGGTAAAGAATTACCAGCTCTGAGTAGAAAGGAAGGAATATTTTGTGTGTTTAACATAAAACTTACTACTTTTATCTAACACAGCATGATTGCTTCTTAGGCAATTGTACAATTGTATTGCCTCTTTGTGATCCATTCTAATTGCCAGATTATTTTCTGCACCTTGTTTGGTCATTCTCCTTTTTATATTTGTGCATGTAATTTTACTTGTATAGGTACACATGAATTCACTTAATTGCCTAGCTGCATTCAGATTTCTGCTGTGCACCTAGATAATTTAAAATGTACATTCTGCACTCTGATAGGTTTGAAGTCTTTTTAGCTTAGTGTAATTTTCAAATGCAAAAAGCATCTTAATCACCTAGCAGTTCAATAATTAACATGTCATGCAGATTCTTGCAGAACCTGACCTGATGCATCTTGCTCGTTTAAAAATGAATCACTAATAACTATTGGTAACTAATTCTGTGATTGGGATTTCCCAAATAACTACCTACCTCAAATCTGCTTGTCTATACAAATGTTCTGTGAGATGTCAAAAGCCAAAATCCAGATTCATAACAGTGTTTTGACTCTTCTGTCCAAAAATTTTAGATAATGTAGAGTGAAATAAAATTGCTCTTACATTACATATTTATTAGAAATTAATTTGTCTTTTGTATCCTGTTTATATTCAAGATTCTTAGAAATAGACCTTTTTATTATTTGTTCTGATATTTTTCTGGTAATTGAAGTTAAGCTGTCTTATCCTTTAAAGGATAAGATTTTAAGTTAAACTCTCTTATCCCTAAAAGGATCTCATTTTAAAATTATGTGTTTGTCCTTTCTAGAATTCTGGAATCTGTGTCCCTCAATTTGCTAAAGACAATTGCTAATGGCTAATAAATTTTTTTCAGTGTTCTCAGAACTGAATTACAACCGACCCAACCAACTTGAAAACAGCTACATTATCTATGTAGAGTCTACTGGGTTTTTTTCTTTGTATTTAGCCTGATTTTCACTCTTCTATTTATGATTTTAATTGAGTTGGCTATCACATTAAAACTGATCTTTCAAAAAAAAGTTAAAGGAAAAAGATCATTGAGCACTTTCAAGATAAAGTGATAATGCTGTAAGTATGATAGCCTAAGAGTATAAGCCAGGAAAGTTGTGGAGAAAAAACAACCTCTCCCATTAACCCAATTGATACAGTTGGAAAATGGATCAGCATCTGCCTTGGTAATGGGGTTTGTGTTCCTGAAGACTTTTTGTTTTAATATTGAATTAGTCAGTTTAATAAAAGATATAACTGCACTCCTGTAACCCTGTCTGAGTCAACACTTTATCTTATTTGCTAGTAATTAACTGTATTTTGTTGTTACCTATTACCTTTGTTTCTCTTAATAAGTGCTTTAAAGTGTCTCCTTTTCATTATTTTTTTCCCCTTTCAAATCCTGTCACAGATATGCTCCTGAGCTCATAGAAGTATTTTTGCTATGAGTATTTCTGCTATGAGTCTTCTAGTGTAAAAGGATGGCTTTCTTCTAGTGTAAAAGGAATGCATGGTCAGGCCAGGCTGGTGTTCCAGCACACACTGTATGTGTCCTCTAGACTGAGATCACTGGCATTGTACAGATGCTGCTGTACCTAGTGTAGGCTGATCTCCTCAACTAAAGCAAAAGGTAAGAAGGCAAGAAGGGCTTGCAGTTCAAAAATGGAAATGAGACGTGAGGGCTGGTATTTGTAATGGAAATAAGAAGCATGCTGATGGTTTCTCTTTTAATGTATTTAATTTTGGTTCCCAGTAAAGTAACACTAAAACAATAGAGAAAAATATTGCTAAGCACCTGGAGTTGTCTATAGGCAACTTATTGATTCCATAGGTTGTTTGTGGTTTTCTTTCACTTCTGTATGAAACATGAAGAAGGACTAAAAAAAATTGTCTCAACATATTAATAGCATTAAATGCATATGTGGACTTTGAGACATACCTCCAGATGACACAGATTTTTTGTCTATAGAATTATGAAATTTTTGATCATGGGAAAAAAAATGTAATAACAATGGATCATTTGATAGCTGTGTGTTGTAAAATCCTCCTCTGTGCACACATTAAAATATGTTTAGTTAAAAGTTCCATAAGCACAGAGTTACTGATGTCATCACAACCAAGTGAAGAGAACAGCATGTAGAGACACAGAAATCTTGAGCAGCTTCATTGCTGAAATGGCTGTTTTTCAGCTGTGTGTGAGAGATAGAGAGCTGTATTTTAAAGATAACATTTTATTACATGCTTGCTTTCAAAGGGCAAACTGGACTCATAGGTATATTGGGGTAGTTTCAAACCCTCATTTCATTTTTATCAGGGCTAATTGTGATGGTATTCTAAATACTCACACATACTTCAGGGGCCTGTTGGACCCTCAGCTATCCACAGTGTAGCTTTTATAAAAGATGATACGTATCTGTACATATGAATATGGAATTTTGAATGTGCATGTAAACATAGAGTCCATAGAAATTCTGTTAAAGCCAGTGAAATAGCCCACAAACAGGAATCAGAATGCAAAGTCTGGTTCAACAGTTATGATCATTTATGAAATCTTGGAGGCATGTTACTGATAATCTCTGTTCATTGTGCTGGTTCTCTCCCGCTACCTATCCAAACCTGGCCATCTTTCCCTATTTTAATATGTGAATGGAGAAAGAGAAAGAAGATTTTATTTCCACTGGTTTGTGTATATGGCTCTGCTCTTCCTTTCCCCTTTCTCTTTCCAAATTTAACCTCAGTGCCTTTTCTTGTGCTCAGTCAGTGATGATTTCTTGGTGAAACACCAGACATCAAGATTCCACGTTATGCATATTAAGGATTATATAAAGTTTAATACATTTAAATGTTTATTGTAACACACTAAACCAATGTATTCCTTGAGCTGAGGCTCAGGGTAGAACAATGTGTAAGTGCTTGGAAAATATTAACATGCTCACTGGGATTTACAATATAATTCCTCATGACATTGGCTCTAAAGAAGAGTCATACTTTGCCCATAACTTAAACTTGTTCATCCTTGACTTCACACTTGATAAACAAGGAATAAATTATATATTAGGAACAAGAGAACATTTTAGTCTACTGCAAACATAGATCACTAAAAAGAAAAAACCCTAAACCAGCCAACTATCTTTTTCTCCTCCTGCTTCCTCTCCAAGCTCAATTAAGACTCAACATGCTTTTCTTCTCCCTAGTTTCCTTTTATCTGTTCCTCTCATGTTTCCATGTCCTTCCCCCCATACTCTTTATCTGATGAGGGATAAAGAATAGTGCTGTGGGATAATGAGGTAATTCCTGGTAGTGTTGGAAGTCCCAGACACCTGGAAGATATATTTTTTCCTCTATCCCAGGCTGGGTCAGATAAGACCTTGGGTGTTTCAGTGGTATATATTCAGGTTAAATCAGTCCTTATGGGACCAAATAAAATTTCAGTGTACTGAAAAGTATGCAAATGTCCATCTTTAGATAGGGTAGTTTTGGTCTGGAAAATTTGATTTACATGGCTAGGAAATAGCCTGGATGTGTAATGAACCAAAGTGTTTTACCTTTGTCTTCATCCCATCCAACACTTTACAGATGTCTAACCCCTGGCTCTCTTTCCTTGGCATGGATCCAGTTCTGATTTGGCACTGACTCACTCTCCATATGCAGTGGATACTCCCAATCTCGTGAATTTTTAAATACAACTGCTTTGCATACACAGTGTAAATGAAATATTAACCCCTCCCATCCTTGCAACTCAATGTTCCAGCAAAAAAACCTGCAAAAAATATCATTCCCAAGACTAATTTTTTCAATAGAGCCTCATCTAAATTAATTCTCAAAGTAGTTTCCATATTTTTAATTTTATGTAGCTATTAGAATTGCATGATTATTTCTTAAAAAATTGGATTAATTTAGATTCAATAAAGCAATTATAACCAGCAAAGGGATTAACAATTAAGAGACCTCCAAAAAAGCTAATTGCAGAGCTAGTAATTTAGCTGACTGTGTGATGATTCAACTCAGATTCCAACTTCTTAAGCTTTTGTGTACTCACTCTTCTCCCTGGTGCTTTAATAGCAAGCTTGCATGCAAATACTTGCTTTTCTGTGGCTGAGGCCTGTGCTGCTTTGGGCCAAAATTGATTGCTGAAGTTACATGACTGGAGTGCCTCAGGTGAAAAAAAAATCACTAGCAGTAAAACATCCATTAGGCAGCTATGTAAAGTGTGCACCCTGACAGTCACTAATGCTCACAGGATGGAATAAATTCTGCAAACAAGGTCAGTAGAGTTAAGACTTTTCCCTTAAATATCTAAGACATACTGCTGACACCATTTGGGGGTGATAACAATTGCAAACCACCTGCTACATGAGCATATGTGGTCAGATGCTTTTCCCTCCTTAGAGTAACTCCCCTTCAGCCAATATTATGAGCTCACTGATTCATATTTCATTTAAGAGCATGGATGGCCATGACTGTGTGAAGTCCCATCTTTATTGTTCAGATCTCTCTGCTGACATTAACTCTCATTGCTCCACTGCAGATGGTGGAGTCCTAAGGATTTGTGCCAGTTGAGGTCACACATTTGTGCAGTCAAACAATAAATATGGAAACAATGATAACACATTTGTATGCTGATTAAATAAGTAGGTTAAATTTGTTTAATTCATGCCAAGATAAATACTGCCACTCTCATTTCCATAAAACACTGAGGTTTAGGTTCTGACATGTTGAAATCAAGGAGGTTTTCACTTAACCTCAGGGGGCTTTGGCTCAGAACCACAGTCCAACCGTTGTGAAATACAGTTTATTTCTAGCCTTTTGTAGAATGTATTCCAGAAATATTTTCCCTTATTCAGACCCTAATTATGTTTGTTTTCCCATATTTTCTCTTTGAAGAAAAAAAAAATCAAACAAGGCAAAGCAAGATTACAAGTGTCTCTGAAGGGGATGTCATACAGTCAGTCAGTCATCATTTAGCAGCTCAGCAGTAGAAAAACTGACTCATGTCTCCCTTTTGCAGTTTTCATTGTCGTTTCCCCACCCTAAGACCTTGCTATCAGCCCCAGCAAGTAACTAGTATTAAAGACCTCCTCTTGCTTTTCAAAAATGGAAGAAAAAAATTAGCTTTATATTTTTTTTTGATTGTCCCAGTTTAGTCCCTGAGTCTCAATGGGCCTGTGCAATCTGAAGTTTGACCTTTTCAAATTGGGTTTGAAGAATGAAATAACAGCAGAAAACCCTTTCTTCACATTTTTGTTCATATGCTTTGTGGCTTGCAATCCTACAGTATCCGAGAGTTCAATTAGGCAGTGTGTGATTGGCAGGTTCCTGAGTTAAATAGCTGGGATGGGATCATACACTTAAAATAGCTTTAAAAGAAAACCTGTAGACAGACAATCAGTCAGACAATCTTTTCAGGCGCTTGGAAAGCCCCTACTTTCCTAAGCACTTGTCCTGTAAACGATCTGGAAGTCTTGCACAAGAAGTAGTTTAATATAAAAGATTGCTTGGAGGCAGTTAACATGCAAACATACCCCTTGATGTAATATCTGGGGGCATTTTTTGAAGTTGTTTTTTTCAGAAGCATTGTTGTTGCTCATTATGAGTGTGACATCACTTCCCCTGACCTAGTGATATGTGTACTCTCTGTGCTCTG